GGGGGGGGGGGGGGGGGCGCGTTGCCCAGTAGGCCAGGACCACCTGCAGCCTGTCAGGCTGGCTCCACCATCTCTTCTGACCCACAGGGCGAGAAACACGGGGCCAGCACAATAGCTCCCCGTGCTGAGGCTGCAAACCCTCTCTTAAATTTAATGGAATCAAAAACAACACCCACCCCCCCACCCCAAAAATGGTTCTCTGGCTCAGAGGACCACCCTCTCCTTTGAGTCGTCCCCCCAGCCTGGTGGAGCCCCCCCTCGTGGCCAGGAAGGTCCCTTCCCCCCGGTGGAATGTCGGTAGGACGGTTGTCCTTTCGGAAGCCTCCGGTCCCTCTTGGCTCCTTCCCGCCCACTTTGCTCGTGTTCCAAGTTTCCAAGGAAACGGAAGGAAGGAAGACCGGGCTTGCCCCTCCCTTGCGGCCTGTAATTCAGAGCGTTAGAAAACGGGGCGCTTGCCAGGGTTCGGATTCGGCCGCTTCTCCTGCGATTCCCTGAGAAGGAGCGCAGCAGCTCCGTCCGATGCCGCCCTGCTGTTGGGCCAAAAGGCAGGTCCGTTTGCCCCCCATCCAGGACAGGCTTCATCGGAGTTGCTTGCTTCCCCCTTCCAAGATATTTAAGCTTTCGCCGGGTTTTTAATGCTTCCAGTGAGCTTTGTGGCTTTGCTCCAACTATTTGCCCTTCTGGCAATTCCAGATGCCCCCAATCTCTCTTCTCAGAGTTCAAAGGGCTTCATGTTCCTGTTCCTCCTATCAAAAGCCCAACTTGCGCAGCTCTATGCTGTGGCCAGATTCCTTGCATCTCGCAACATTCCTCAGAATATTTCTTCCAACAATCTTCATTTCAATTTTTTTTTCTTTCAATCTAGCTTTTCTCAAAATGTGTTTCACATCTCTGTGGAATAGGTAGCAATATGCAATCTTGATTCCCTTCATTTGAAGCGGTTAATTAATCTATATTCTGTTCTGGCCGTTTCTTCCTGGTCCGCATGCAAACTCTCCACTTTGCAAATGAGGTGCTGGAGTATGGCCAGGTTTTTAAGAACTGTACCCCATGTGGCCTCCATAGCCCAAAGTCATAGAATAATCCATCAGTTGAACTCTCTTGCTATTTACTAAGTACTTACTCAGATTGATTCAGCCTTCTGTCCTTCCGAGGCCGGTAAAATGAGGACCCAGATTGTTGGGGGCAAGAGGCTGGCTGTGTAAACCCCTTAGAGAGGGCTGTGAAGCGGTATACAAGTCTAAGTGCTCTGGCTAATTTCTTATCTGTTGGACTTTGTTGGACGAGGCACTCTCAGTTCCCGCTCCCAACTAGTCTCCTTTGTAGGGATGAAATGCTTCTTTGACTACGTTGAGTGGGTTCCCCCCCCCCCCCACCAAACCTCTCCCCACCTGTCCAAATTGCTGCTCATTAGATAAGCTGCCTGCCCTGTGACTCCTCGCCCACTGCGCCTTCCCCGTAAGCCCCCACGGGCCCCGCTGGGAGCTCGGTAGACCTGTGCCGGTGACGGGGTTGTGCTTGCTCCTTCCAGATGCTCTCCACCGTGTTGAACATCATCATATTTGAGGACTGCAGGAACCAGTGGTCCATGTCCCGGCCTCTGCTGGGCTTGATCCTGCTCAATGAGAAGGTGAGGCCCCGCGCGAGGGGGCTGTGTTAATGTGGGCTGGCACATCGCCCTGGACAGCTCACAAGCCTCAACTTTCCCTTTGCAGTATTTTTCAGATTTAAGGAACGGCATAGTCAACAGCCAGCCCCCCGAGAAACAACAAGCTATGCACCTCTGCTTTGAAAACCTCATGGAGGGCATTGAGCGCAATCTGCTGACCAAGAATCGCGATAGGTCAGTATCTTCACCAAAGGCAGCAGAACAGCCCAACTCCAGCCGCCACCTTCGTTTCATTCTGAGGAAGGAGGACCAGGGCGGCATCGCGTAGCACCTGGACTCCAGGGGGGGGGGGGGGGGGGCGCGTTGCCCAGTAGGCCAGGACCACCTGCAGCCTGTCAGGCTGGCTCCACCATCTCTTCTGACCCACAGGGCGAGAAACACGGGGCCAGCACAATAGCTCCCCGTGCTGAGGCTGCAAACCCTCTCTTAAATTTAATGGAATCAAAAACAACACCCACCCCCCCACCCCAAAAATGGTTCTCTGGCTCAGAGGACCACCCTCTCCTTTGAGTCGTCCCCCCAGCCTGGTGGAGCCCCCCC